TATATATATATATATATATCATCATCATCATCATCATCATCATCATCATCGTACAGCGAGGTACAGTAAAGCGAACTTCACTGGTTGCTGCCAAGCTCACAATGTACACAAATCAAGTGATAAAGCACAAGATGGAGAGGGGTTGGGCTTAATTGGAAGGAGGCAAAAAAGTAAACCTCTATGGTTAACGCAGAGTACACCATCTAAGTGCGCCTACATACCGTTTCAAGCATTCTGACCTAAAATGACAAGGACACCACAGCTGTCAGTTAGTCACCACATCTTTCGGTGTCTCCAACCAGCCAGTTGCAGTCTTTCGGGCCCCAACCTTGAATTTGTGGCCCCTACTCTATCTAATTACTCTGCACTGCTTCATGCCTCGTTTCTTTGTCATCTGTTGACTTCCACGCGGTTTCTTCCCACCTGGGGTCGCAACTGCGAATAGGGGGCGGTGCGGTAGACGATGACTGGGCATGTGCAATACTTGTCCTAACCAGCAAAGCCGACTAATCTGGATTCAGGGGACAACGATAAATCATGGAATCATCACCAAATACGCGACGTCTTACCTCAGAGTTGCTTACACGCTCGTTCCATCCAACCCGAGCCAAACTACGTAAACATCAGCAGTCGAAGACTTCTAGACGACGAATATTTTCCACGCGCACATCTTTTGGTAACGATCAATTAAGTTCGTCTCACTGTATTTCGCTGTACGACGATGATGCGTCTGCACCAAAGGTATCTCAGTCCTGTGTCAGCTGCTCAAGCCTTGGAGATGCGGGTGGTTACTTCATTGACTAAGCTACTATCATTTGTAACGCAGCTACCTAAGTGGGTGAAACATTCCACTACAGCTAATTCTTGACCAACAAAATCAGCACTGAGTTAGACGACACCCAGTCTTGCAACATCACTTTACACTTCGACGGAGAAAAACGCATATCGATAGGAGTTACAAAACTTGCTGGTCTGTCAAGAGCGCTTTGCGCATCCTCCATACACTCGAACAGGCATACGATGTCATTAGCGTACTCTAAATCGCACAGCTTTTCTCCAGCTGCCCATTCAATACCTACGTTTTGGAGACCACTGATTGCGTTCTTTAGTATTTCGTGAGAGAATCACCGCCCACCCTAAAATGAATAGGGAGCATCCCATCACTGCCAGCATAACAATATCAGAGCTGTGGCTCAACCGAATGCGTTTGGTGAGTTTGTCGTACAATTCGTCCTTTTGTGAGTTGAGACAGCGTTGGTTGGTGCATATACCGATATGATGAACAAGCACCTATTGTTATTTCCCATATGAACACTAACTGAATCCCTGAGCCTCATTATGCACAAACGACTACTAACGGGTATCCAATCTATCTGAGTCCTTATCTTTATCGCTTAGTATGATTCCTACTGAGCGATATGACTGGGATTTCGTAAACAGTGGGGTTCTTGCATCTTCTCAATTTCTTTGGAACATCAGTTCACTGAAATTCTCTCTTCTATTCTACTTCCAACCTTCCTGTCTTTCTACTGTTCATCCAAATGGGCAGTTAAAAGACAGCAACCAAAGCGGTGCACGAAGGTGCATGGTTAATGGTTGTACAAACTGAAAGTGAAAACCTTCACAGACAGCCGAATATCGCAGCTGCGCGACAGATGTCATCCGAGTCTTCTGCATGCAATCTGACAGTTCCTTGTTGATGCGTCCACCGGGTGAGATGTAGCTGCCCAAATAACGAAAACTTATCCACTT